TGTGTGTGTGTGTGTGTGTGTGTGTGTGTGTGTGTGTGTGTGTGTGTGTGTGTGTGTGTGTGTGTGTGTGTGTGTGTGTGTGTTGTATGAAGTACGAACAAGAAACAATACATCTTAATATTTTTCATAATTTCTACATCTCTCATGAAGAAGATATAAGGCGACCTCCAGGGAAGTTTTACTTTTGTGTGTAAATAAGGTCGTGTCCTTGCAGCAGATCACAGTACGAATATATTTAATTGTCTTTAAATTATTTGGGAAACAAAACACACACACACACACGCACACACACACAATTAAATGAATTAAATCCGAGGGGTCACTTCACTAAACTAACAGCTCGGGTGTAAAATATCGCGAGCCTGTTTTCAAGTCTGCAAGAAATGAGGCGTAACTTTAACTCTCATAAAATGACAATTTATTAAACAAACAAACAAATCCTTCAGAATATTTTTTTCAACAAATGAAGATTCTTTGAAATAGTACGGCGATATACACGTTCCTTTTCTTACTTTTATAATGGAACAATTGTTTAGGACACTTAAGGCAGTTCAATTTAGAAACACTTTTTTGGTGTTTGGTCCATAATATCCGGCTACAGTTTAGAAATAAATTACTATATGCATTTTACACGTCCATGAAAAGTGACATATATTTAACACATCACATAAAGCCACAAAAGCAAAGGGAGACTTACGTGTTATTTGCAGTAACACTGTTCTTTAGAAAGATCAAGTCTTTTTTTGTTTTCTTTTCTGTTTCATATTAGTCCATGTGGGAGTGAGGGAGGCAAGGAAGGGTAACAACGCCAAATTTAACTGAACGAGTTCAAACACCTTGAGGGGGAAATACTGACCCTGTTTTTGGGCTGTTTTTGTTTTGTTGGTCAGAACTTGCTGCAGTCGTACACGAATGCTCCCGATGTGCGATAGATGGACTGGCTTGGTGGGAATGACATCTGACAGCTGCTATTCCCATTCACAGGTGAATTATTCAAGCCAATTCTTTGGGATTCAAACATCTCTCTGACCGCATGGAAGTTCTGCTGTTGTGCTGGGTAAGCTGCACCCAGATGGCCCAGGTCCCCGGCCTGGTTGAGGTACCATGAGGTCAGCCTTCCTTGGTGGGGATGGTGGCTTTCCTGCCCAGAGTTTAGATTACCGTGGGTCAGGGAGGATGAGGTGGTTGTGACTGAGTAATCTGGCAACGTTTCGTCCACGGTGGTGCTCGGTGCCAAATGGCTAGATCTGTCCCCAGCGTAAAGGCTCATGGCTTGCATGTTACAATGATAAGTTGCATTGGAGGTAGTGGAGATGGAGTTTTGGTTACAGGGTGAACTATAGACAGATGTCTGACTTGGAGAATAGTTTAAGGACAAAGACGGTGTTATACCTGTCCTGGTGGAGGCGGTGAGGCTGGAGTTGAGCTCAGTGGCCCCTTGTGGAGATCCCCGGAGGGAGGTCATGATATTGTCTACGCTGAAGCCCTGCGTCGAGGCCTGGCCGTGATGTTGGTGGTGCTCGGTACTGTCCATACCAATGGACCTATTGGAGGGGATGCTGTGGGGGCTCCCGCTGGACATGCTGCTACTGTCTGGACTCTCGATTTTGCGAACAGAGCTCAAGGAAGGTGACTCGGCCTGAGGTGGCGTGACCGCCCCGTTCTCGGTTTTTATATCCTGGATCCTCACAGGCTGGGAGCCCTGCACCGGCTGCTCCTGCTCCCGGCCCTGTTGCCTCGGCGGTATCTCCTTCTGCAGCCGCTCTTCTTTCTCTTTTAGTGCGTCCTTCTTTTTGAAACGCCGTCTCCTTCTCAAGAAGCTCCCGTTCTCAAACATGTTGTAAGAGTCTGGGTCCAAGGTCCAGTAGCTGCCTTTACCGGGCTTTTTATCATCACGGGGCACTTTAACAAAACACTCATTCAGAGACAGATTGTGTCTGATACTGTTCTGCCAGCCCTGCTTGTTGTCTCGGTAAAATGGAAACCTTTCCATGATAAACTGGTAAATCCCATTCAGGGTCACCTTTTTGTCAGGCGAGTTTTGGATAGCCATAGTGATGAGCGCAATGTAACTGTAAGGGGGTTTGACCATATCCTTGGGCTGAGGCTGGGGTGTGTAGGGTCCATACGCCCGGGCCATGCTGGCAGGGTACTGGTCATGAGCCGCGTGAGAGTACATGTTCATAGGTGCTGGCATCCCCGTGTATCCCCCAGTGGCTGCGGCCCGATAGTAGCTCGGGTCGCTGCTGATGTACGGCACGACGCCCAGTGAGTTGGGACTGGAGACGGAGTAGCGAGCCTGCATGTCTTCACTTTGATCCGGCAAAAATAAAGCTCCAAAAAACGCAGAATGAGTGCTCCTCTTCTAACTCCTTTGGAGATAGTGGCGCTCAAATCACAAGACTTCGTTCCTCACTTTTAAAAAAAAAGCAAAAGAGGGAAAAGTCTTAACCGCAGTGCAACTTGTTGTGTTTAAGCTGTCCCCATCCTTGTGTCCCAATGAAACGCACACTGAAAAACTTCTGAACTTCGGACATCCGTCACTACAGAGGACTTTTGCGCAGTTAAATTCTTTCCTCCTTTTTTGCTGCCAGGGAAGCTCCGCCTACAAAAGCGCAGGAGCTGTCCAATGGGATGTCCGGGCGTGCAAAGGGAGCAGAAAGCTGCTGGCCAAACTCAGGGATTTTAGAAAGACAAAAAAAAGAAAAAAAAGAAAGAAACCTAGGAGGTGTCGCTAACTCCCAGTCCGCTCCAGCCAAAGCTTCGGACACGACAGAGCAACATGTACACATGGAGTTCATTTCCCCGCACTCTGTGTTAAGATCAGACATGGTCTACAAGACATTTAATTAAGCTGAAATGGCACAAACATGGTATTTATATTTCAAATATAGAAGTGCAGTAACTGTCCGCTATTTTCAGTGCCAAAATATTTCTGATCCCTTTAAAACAATCACATTGTATTTAATTTACATTTTCTCCCACGGTCATTGCTCTGAAAAATAAGTTATTTCATTGCAATATTTCCTTTTTGTTTTTGCAGAAAAGGCGCTGACACCAGCGAACCAAATGGTGCAATTTAACATCTTTAAAGTGCATTTGATTGGTTAAAAACATTCAACACCAGCAGTAGGTCAGTGTGAGATCAAAGCGGGAGAGAACCTCACAGTGCTGGCAGTGGGAGTTAAGTGCGACCTCATTACAGCGAGAATCAGGGACAATTTGGGCTTCAGGTGAGTTGTGAAAGTTTATTCAGGGAGAGCATTTAGGACCGGGAACCAAATGGGACGACACCTTCCATGTGTGGCTTTTCATCAAAAATATCTGAATATTTGTTGCGCGGTGATGGTGAAAGCTCATCTGGAAATTATTATCCTAAAGAAAACTGGACTGTAGAGAATAATTTTAGCATCAGCAAACAATTATTTACACGCACAGTTCTTCCGTTTCTTTACCCAGATTTAATTCTTTGTGTAATTAAAAAAAAACCTCTAATGAGTTTATAATGTAAAAGGTCTGAAGCGCAAATCAGATAAATAAGACATTTTGACCAAATATAAAAAACTGTTCAATAAGTCGACCCTGAAGGGCCATAGATGTCCCCTAACTGTCAAGAGCGACGGTGCATGAAATTGTTAATGATCATTTTGAGACAAGGTTACAGTCCCAATATCGCTGTAATCCTTCGCAGGTCGTCTTAATTAAATATCCGTGCAGTGGCCTGGTTTCTCCTTACATGGACCCGGGCATGAACTTTTTCCACCGCCCTGGGCTGTTTACACAATTCACGACGGGCCTTTTACTTAATACCACGGCCTGCTCACCCACTCCTCCCTAACCCTTTATTTACAAAAAGAAAGAAAAGAATTCACGGCTGGATCACAGTGAAAAACATGACATAGTGTCAAATCAATAAACACAACTTCAGGCGCTTTATGTGTGTCTTTTCTCGAACCAGTGTCAGTACAAGTAATGGAGATGTTATTCTCAATAAAAAATATATATATTCCTGATATAATTTGTTTAAAAATTACATTTGCCGTCAGTTTATCATATTTGTGTGTTTATGTTGATCATCACTTTCTGTCTTTCGCCCTCATAATTACTAATAACATTATACTAAGGGCCGAAATCATAGCAAACCACATAAAGAAAATATAAACAAATATAATGGCAACAGCCTAAAAGTGTGAATTTTGAATGAACTAACTATATTGTAAGCTGTATCGTTTTGCTAAACAACCGATGTTTCAAAACACAAATACGATACTGTGAATATGAAAAAATATATATATATCAAACTTGAATTTTTAGTGGAGTGTAAAAAAAAGACAGGGGGGGGGGGGGCGTTGGAGGGTTTATCCCAATCACTATGAACGTGGCTCCCTCTAGCGTTCAGAAAGGGTACAGTTGCAGTTGCAGCCTGTCGTCATGTCAGTCTTAGCTGAGTTCATGAAGTTCAGCTGATTTCTACAAACGCAATAATTTATTAATGAGACAGTGGCGACACTGAAATAAGAGCTGTTTGTGATCACACCACATTTCCCGCATTGACAGGGACTTGCTGGTGTTTCGAGGATCAGGAGAATCACAAACCAGTGAAACAGTAAAGCAGTGCCAAGAGACATAACCATACAATTCAACAATGTCGTCGATGCGCTCTGAAACATATCGTTTCCTAAGGCTCACACCGCGCACGAACGATTTGCCAGTGCGATGAGAAGTGCGCCATCCGGTGAGCGCTCTCGCAGTATGACGTACGTTCTCCCAACCAATAAAACTGCAGAATGACAGGGAGCGAGCGTTACCGAAAAAAGTACGGATAGAGCACAGAAGCAAGCGCAACACAAATTTCTGGCCATTCATCCAGTCTAGCGGTCAGTGCAGCGCATACAACTTCCTGTGTGAAGGGGCTACAAGAGTGGTCATGGTGCACAGAAGGCAAAGAGGTCATACAGGGGTCAGAGCTAACTGAGATTAAACTAACTGACCATTACCTGAGAATAAAACAATGATTAAAGGAGAAGTTGGGCGGTGACCAGATTATACTTTTAGGGCGCCTGAGCTGCCATTTCACTGAGTGTGGGAAATGCATGAGAAAGTTCCACAGACAAGTTTTTTTTTTACCACTCTTTGAAAGCAATTTTTATGTTAATTAATGTGTGAATTAATATTGGTAATACTATGTAGGAGTTATTAGATTGCTTTATGATATAGCAGTGAGGATGGTGTTAAATCTTTGTAACGGTTATACATAATAAATGCCAACAGTTCCAGTATGTTCTTACCTTGTCATGTTTTCAGGTATTGGCTATGGCCTCTGGATCACACTGTGAAGGGATGAAATATGACCAGTATGTAAGAATTATTTCAACTCTTGTCAGCTGTTGCTGTTGTGGCCATCAACCCTTTAACGTTGAACCTAACTTTTCAGAGGAACTATAATAAATATGAAGAAAGAAACTTCCTAAAAATCACCCATAGCGGCCAACGAACTAGTCTGTTTATTTTTTTGTGTACATGATAACGGTATATATATTCAGGATATTAATTATATTCAGTGATCCACATGAGCCCCTTGAGCAGCACTGCAATGGGTTTCAGAGCATTTTTTAGCGGCTGCTGCCATCTCCCGATTTAATTCTGTACTACAGTTGCTGACTGACTGAGCAAATCAGAAAATACAAACAAGCACCTTCAGTTATGTGAAAGGAACAACCTTAAATACTATGAAGCAAAACAGATCATAAAAGCCTGCTTGTTGTTTTCATGCACTAAATGTGCGAATAAACTAAAATAATTTCCACAGGTGTTTCAGGATACCAGAGAAGAGCATTTTCTCTGTGGCTCTCTAATGTTCCAGGTCAGCGTGTCAAGCAGGACTAAAGAGATTCATTAAATGGCAAACAGACAATTTTTTTGGCCTATTTGAAAGAGTAAACAGGTTGTATATGGATTATGTGTATTTAACTTAGTATGCATAAATAGCATACTAAAGAACCGTTTGGGTTGTGGTGTATAAGCATGACCTTTTAGGTTAGTAAAACAATTCCTTCATAAAAACGTGTATTTTTATCTTTACCTTAATTTTAACAATGACAAGTGTAGTGCCACAAATTCCTTTAAATATTCAAATAAATAGAAAAATAAAACAAAAACGAAACAAAAAGCTTCTTACTGTAGCCAAAGCATTACGATCAGTAATTTCACAAGTCATTTGCCTAATAAAGTGACAAACGAAACAAAATTTTACAGTAAATTACTGGCAGCATCGGTGATTTTCTGTAACTTTACAAGGACCATACTGTAAACATACTGTTTATTTAAACATCTTTAATTTTATTTATTTATTTATTTACAGGATGATACCCTATTGTTTATTGGAAAAAGCTGTACAATTCTAATGACGTTATACTTACATCTATCTATCTAGATAGATAGATAGATAGATAGATAGATAGATAGATAGATAGATAGATAGATAGCTGTGCTGTACTTTTTAAAGTATTTTCTCGGGTACTACTGTATTTCACTTTTTTTCCTGAATCTAGACTTCTTTACAGTGATATTCCGTTTTCTGCTTTTACTTTCTTTGCTTACAATAATAACAACAACGACAAAACTAACAATAACAGTCATTCATATTTTGTAAATAGTTATAGTTGTTAATGATAAAAAAAAAGTTTTTCTTATTGTAAGTACTGTATTATGGTAATTTGTTTATATCCAATTAAAATATCTCATGTATTAGATAGTGCTTGTCACTGACACTGACTGTTTCAAGGCGCAAACCACTTCTCTGACCCATATAAATACAGCGGCTCGTAGCTTGGACCATTGTCTCTTGCGGTCTTTGGTCTCATTCCCTTCAGTGACATGTTGAATGAAATTATTTTCATGCGTTTGATGAATTTTCTGCTTAGACCTTGTTTTATCGTCTTTAGCTGCTCCGACGCATGCCTTTCATTCTCTTGGTCAGTTAGCAGTCACTATAAAGAGTAAAGTATAAAGATGTCAGTCATGACTGAAACAAACTAAACCACATCAGAGCACTGATCGAAACTGGAGTCCCAGAATTCAAAATAACCATGTAGTTAATTTGTCATTTGCTGGGCTAGTGAGGAGAATTTGACTGTTCCTCCAGAAATAGAACAACCTCCTATTTCGTTTTTTGTTTGAAATGTTTGTTTTTTCTGACTGCATGTTACGTTATGTTAATTTGTATTTAAAAAAATAAGAATAATAATGCCAGAATTTTAATCTGTGACTTCCCAATGAAATTTAACCTTGAAGTGATTCATTAGGAGAATGCTTGGATAAAGGAATACGCTTGATGACTCTTATGCTGTCAGCAGTATCACATAAAATCACACCTACAAACACCTCAATATTTGAGATGCAATTTAATACAGTTAACCTTTGCCTTTATCGGGGCTGGACTTGTAAACCCACCAACTTTGAATTACCGATCTCTATATCACATACAACACAGTGTGTGTATTCTTATATACCGAGGGAGTATTACAATCTTAAAAATACAGAAAG